GAAGACCCGCCTGCCGCCGACCCACGGCGGACCCGGGGGATGCCAGGGCGGGCCAGAAGAACCGTTTTATCTAAAATAACAAAGGAAGCAAAGCCAGGTCGCAAAATGAGTCCGAAGGTGGGCGTGAGTAGCTAGGGGGACCTGGAGGGCTCTCGCCTCTCTCCGGAGGGAGGCGAGCCCCGTGGGTGTGTCGCGATTGAAATACGGAAATCTCCTGCAGCCTGTTTGAGGCCCAGCCTAGGCGCACCTCGAGCTTCCGGCCTCGCCCTGGCTCCGCCGTCGGCTGATCACACCCGGCGGGCGAGGGGCTTTTTCACCCGGACTCTGCGTTCCGCTTGGGCGCGCACCTCCGGGGAACTCTTGGGGGCCCGGGGACCCCGACGTCCCCGCGGGGGCTCACCGGGCACCTTCAGGGGAAGGTGGAGTAGCTGGGGAGTCCGAAATACAGAGGTGCGGCCGCTGGAGTTCCCGCACCCACCAGCCCCAAGCTAGAGTTTTCCTAAACTAAGGCAGAAAAAGCCCAGGGAGGCTGCATTTTCTTTCAGGAACAAAACTCCAGCAGAAGGCTCGAAAACACTTGAGTAACGCGCGTTGTTGCTTTAAAACATTCTGATCGAGGCTGGGTGAGATTTTTTTTTTTTTTCCTAATGGCGCAAATTAAATTCAGCTGGATATTTCCATTATTCGACCCGCTTTTTGCGCTGGTTAAAAATAATCCTTTAGTAGCTCAAATGTTGACTTACTGAGCAATAAGTGGCAATTTACACCTTAAAGAAACGAGTGTAAATCACTCACGGCTCTAATTGCTGTAAGTTTACGTAAGAGCCGCTGGCGTGGTTTAATCTGAAGCATTTTCATTCAAATTGTCATAGGAACAAACACCAGGCTTCTTAAATCCCGCTGTAATTAGCTTTCAAGTATCCTATTAAACCTCTTCACCTTTCGGGCTATCCTATTCAAAAAGCCCCCTTTTAAAAATATATATGTGTCTTGCTCCTTTAATTGACGTTATTAAAGAAATGAAGTTTCTTCCCCC